TATTTTCTACAGAATAAATCCCAATCTGAGAGTTTTGTATTAAATTTAGAGATGTTGTTAATCAATAAAAATGTTAACCTACTGGCTGGTTCTTACCATGCCAACTTCTCCTTTTCCAGTGCCTCTTTCAGTAGCCGTCCATTATCTGATGAAACATCAACTCGTTCTTCAATTATACTTTCTAGCCTTTCTTTAAATAAAAACAACAAAATGAAGGGTACATGAATAACTAATACAGACGTGTAGAAATGTAAAGACAAATTCTTGACAACTTATATAATGATAGTGTGCTCTGTTTGTTGAGTATGTTATATGGATCCTCACCACCTCGTTACAGTTCATGTTGCTAAGTCCAGACACTTTCTATCTGATGCCCATGTGCCTTGAGAACAGCCTTGCAGTAGTTTCCATTGTAAAGCTGTCATGTCTAAAGCAGAAAACACCTCCCTCCATACTTTCCATAATTAATCTAGTGTACAAAGTCAAAGATTTCCCAGCACAAGTTTCAACAGCCTGGTTGCACAGAAATCTATTGGTGTTGCATTCAGCAACTTATCTGGTATGTTTTTGTGTGGAATAGCATTTCTACACGTAACAGCATCGCTTAAAAGAATTCTTTCTCTGTTAGACTTATATAAAAATAGTTCAATCTTCAAAAGTCACATCGATATGATCATAAACTTTTCTTTTTGATGAACATTTAGTTTAACACCATAGGGTGTTATTGTGTTTTATTTTCAATGAAAATAATCTTCTATAAATAACACAAAATGTTTCTTGGCAGACCTGAGGAGACGATGTGAGCAAGGGGGTTTTGAGTCAGTTACACACGCTTAACTGGTTCTAGTTTACTTTCCTTACAGGATGTAACATGTAGCAAGCAGTTTTTAACATGTAACAAGTAGTTGATAACACATAGCAAAGTAGTTGGTAGCATGTAGCAAGCAGTTGGTAACACGCAGCAAGTAGTTGATAACACGTAGCAAGCAGTTGGTAAACGTGTAGCAAGTAGTTGGTAACACGTAGCAAAAGTAGTTGGTAACACGTAGCAAAAGTAGTTGGTAACACGTAGCAAACAGTTGGTAACATGTTGCAAACAGTTGGTAACACGTAGCAAGCAGTTGGTAACAGTAGCAAGCAGTTAGTAACACATAACAAGCAGTTGGTAACAGTAGCAAGCAGTTGGTAACAGTAGCAAGCAGTTAGTAACACATAACAAGCAGTTGGTAACAGTAGCAAGCAGTTAGTAACAGTAGCAAGCAGTTGGTAACACGTAGCAAGCAGTTAGTAACCCATAACAAGCAGTTGGTAACATGTAGCAAGCAGTTAGTAACACATAACAAGCAGTTGGTAACAGTAGCAAGCAGTTGGAAACCATTAATGTTTAACTGTTTTGGACCACTCTAAAGAATGACTCACTTTTCCAACTTCTACTGAAAATCACAATAAATAAAACTGTTTAACTATTAGCCTGAAAACTGTATTCCCCTTGTCAGTGTAACTTGCTTATTATCAATGCTCACCAGGACACACAAAATTCATACATATGTACAATGTTACCTTTTTCTTGCTGTAGCTGGATCACTAGTTCCTCTTTCTCTTTCTGCAGAGATTCAACAATAAAACCTTTTTCCCTGCTGACTTGTTCCACGGCCTGATTAAATGTCACCTTAAAGACACACAGTTTGTATATATTACTCAAGAACAAACATGTTGCTCCAATTTAATGGTACCACAATTCTGATTCTATAATGTTTTGGTTTAAAATATCACCTACGGTACTTTTATAACCACAAAAACTTGATATTATTTGAACACAATACAAACACAAAAAACAAATACTAATAGTACAGAGTTTCTGAAATACTGTTCTGAATGTGATGACCCATTTAACAGCTAAACTTGTTTTCAATTGTGAACATGCTGTAAAGTGAAAGTTTAGAAAAAAACCTGAAGTTTAGCGGTACATTTGAAATCTTTACGATCATCAGAATTATCTGCGTAATCTAGAAAACCACGTTTTAAATGACGTCTCAGTAACCACAAATATAAACGTATATTGGTGTGATGACATAAAACATTTAAAGTATTGCCACTATAGTTGGTAGTTTTTAGTATTCGGTCAAAAGTTCAAATATTTTGTCAAATTACAGCTGTAGCTACATATTCTAAAGGAAAACTTTAATGCTCTATATATATAACGAGAACCTGTTTTTCTGCATGTACTCTAGACTTTAGGTTTTCACAATGATCTTGATGTTCCCTGCTGAGCTTTGCCGTGAATTCTGCCATCTGATTCTCATATTTATTAGCCAGCTTTTCCACAGTTGACTGCAGTTTTGTCTCCCATATCTGTTTTTCTGTTTCTCTCGCTTGCGCTACAAGTTGTTTTTTCTCAACTTCAAAGTGTTGCTGAAGGTTTGCAATAGCTTCTTCATGTTTACTAAGTTCAACCACATCTTTCTGGAAAAGAAACAACAAAAAGATGATGTCAAATCAAGCATGAAGTGAAACAATTTCTCTCATGTCTTGACTGTCAGTGGCATTAAACCGAACTCATCCACTTCGTTTACTTTGGATTTAGATATCATCGTACTTTCCAGCATTTTTATCTTCACCATAATTCAAGCATGAAACATCCTATTATCTAACAAATAAGAAATACGAGCAACAGAAATAAAAACAAGTTCAAGTTACAGACTTGTTTTTATACAGTTATTACCAGTGGACTCCATATATATATATATATATACAACACTTAGTGTAAAGAAGTA